CTGTCATTATTGCTGTTGATTTTTTCAATATTTTTTTCCTGATTGTATCTTACCTTTATATCAACTTGTACTCATTATTTTAGGAAAATCATTTATAACTGAAGTTGCATGTAACCCACATATTGTCTCCCCAAATCATCAGTCCAGAAACTGAGCCATGGAATAAATGATGTCAAAGGAACTCAATAAATCATCTAAAAAAAGGACAGGAAAGCTTCTGAACTTCTGGGAATATCTGTATCACTTCCCTTGGCATTCTCACAGGATAGAGTCTCCTTGTTCTCTGCTTTGTCCTGTGTAAACTTAATGCTCTATTCATGGTGGAAAATCAAATTAAAAACATTTATCTCATAATTCGTGTTTTTTATTTCTTGAAGTATACTTTGGACTGCAAGCTAGACTACGGATAGCACTTTCCAGTTCATGAAAAACTAGTTCCTCACAGGGTTGTTGTTGGTTTTTTCGGGCTATATGGCCATGTTCTAGACTAGAGGCATTCTCTCCTGACGTTTCGCCTGCATCTATAGCAAGCATCCTCAGAGGTAGTTCCTCGCACTTTGCAAGTCTATTTTTTTTGGCGTCCCTGGTGGCATAGCAGGTTAAACTGCTGAATTTGCTGACCAAAAGGTCGGCGGTTCAAATCCGGGGAGCAAGGTGAGCTCCCGCTGTTAGCCCCAGCTTCTGCCAACCTAGCAGTTCGAAAACATACAAATGTAAGTAGATCAATAGATGCCGCTCTGGCAGGAAGGTAACGGTGCTCCAAACAATCATGCTGGCCACATGACCTTGGAGGCGTCTATGGACAATGCCGGCTTTTCGGCTTAGAAATGGAGATGAGCACCATCCCCCAGAGTTGGGCATGACTGGACTTAATGTCAAGGGGAAATTTCTACCTTTACCTATAATTTTCTCAGAGGTAGTTCCTCGCACTTTGCAAGTCTATTTTTTTTTGGCGTCCCTGGTGGCATAGCAGGTTAAACTGCTGAATTTGCTGACCAAAAGGTCGGCGGTTCAAATCCGGGGAGCAAGGTGAGCTCCCGCTGTTAGCCCCAGCTTCTGCCAACCTAGCAGTTCGAAAACATACAAATGTAAGTAGATCAATAGATGCCGCTCTGGCAGGAAGGTAACGGTGCTCCAAACAATCATGCTGGCCACATGACCTTGGAGGCGTCTATGGACAATGCCGGCTTTTCAGCTTAGAAATGGAGATGAGCACCATCCCCCAGAGTTGGGCATGACTGGACTTAATGTCAAGGGGAAATTTCTACCTTTACCTATAATTTTCTCATTTACAGATAATGGCCAATATGGGATTTTAATCTATTCTATGGATGGGCTAGCTCTACTTTTACTTTTACCAATGACAAAAAAACCAGAGGAATGTTTGTTTACTGTGCAAAGTGTATTATAGTAGTCCAAACAGGATGTAATCAAAGCATATTCATAAGGTCTGACATCTAAAGGAATGACCTTCACTGGCACATTAGATTTGGCTAGGCAAATGCACTCCTGGCCACTGCTAAAACCTGGATGTCCAAGCTCAGAGTTGGGTCCAGGAGAACTCCCAAACTGTGGGCCTACAATTTCATTGGCCAATATTCCATTTTGGGGCAACATTTTGGAGCGTCTGGTGGCTTCCCAGCTCCAGGGGTTGCTGGATGAGATAAATGATTTAGATCCCTTTCAATCTGGCTTCAGGCCTGCATATGAGATGGAAACTGCTTTGGTCATCTTGACAGATCACCTATGCAGGGAACTAGACGAGGGGAGCATGTGTCTGTCCTTTCTGATGGACCTTTCTGGTGAACATGGCATTCTGGATTGTCTTTCAAGGATGGGACTTGGGGACACAGTTAAGCAGTGGTTCTGGTCCTTGGAGGAGCAAATCCAAAAGCTGCTGCAAAGAGGGAAATTGAAACTTTATCCAGGTAAGAGAGAGGTGTCCCTGGTCCATCAAAAAGCCAATTGGAATAGGGATTCGCCTGTGATGGACTCCAACACAACGTCAAGACCAACCAACTCAAACAGAGAGATTGTTTGAGCAGAAGGGTTGCTAGAAAGGAACAAAATCCCTTACCCGTCCCTGCCACCCACCTTCAAAAACACACATTGTGAGCACTGGGACTGTGGTGCAGCTGGCTGGATGTCAGCTGCATTAAGATCACTACTGACCGAAAGATTATGGGTTCGAAGCCAGCCCGGGTCGGAGTGAGCTTCCGGCCAATTTGTGTAGCCTGTTGTCGACCTTTGCAACCCAAAAGACAGTTGCTTCTATCAAGTAGGAAATTTTGGTACCACCTATGTGTGGGGAGGCTAATTTAACAAATTTACGAGGCCATAAAAAAAATCTCCAGCAAAAGCATGCGGGGAATGCAGAAAGTACTTCATCAGTGTTGCAGATGGAAGGCGAAGCGACAGCTCCCCTGATGACTAGAAAATTGGAATGTTAAATAGCCTCTGACTGTCTGTCTATATGTGTTGTGTGTCCATGGCATTGAATGTTTGCCATGTATGTATACATTGTAATCCGCCCTGAGGCCCCTGTGGGGTGAGAAGGGCAGAATATAAATACTGCAAATAAATAATAAATAAAATTATTATTGTGAATGAATAATATCATGGGGCCACGGTTGGCGCAATGGGTTAAAACCTTGTGCTGCTGAACTGCTGAACCATGGTTGATGCAATGTGTTAAACCTCTGTGCTGCTGAACTGCTGACAGGAAGGTTGGCAGTTTGAAGCTGCGGGTCAGGGTAAGTTCCCACTCTAGCTCCTGCCAACCTAGTAGTTTGAAAACATACAAATGTGAGGTATAAGTATGTCTTGAGAATATGCATTTAAAATCAAAATATGAGCAGCAAAATGAATCCTGGCAAAAGTTAAATCATTTCAAATATTAGAAAGGCAAACATCTGTAAGTTTCAGAAATAAGGAAAAAAATGTTCCAGAATCTTTATTACACATTGTACAAAAATATTGCACTTTAAAATAATATAATAAATATATACAAAAGTATATTACATGTGTTTTAATTTAAAAAATGGCATATAATCTTGGGCAATGATCCAGCCAAAGTCAGTTGTTTAAAACTTATTGAATTAGATAAAAGAAAATGGAACACAGGTTCTCCTTTCCCACCGACCTCAATGTGTCCTGAAAGCACACATTTATATATCTGAGATTCAAACACCTGCCTTCTATAAGGGAGGACTGGATTATTTTGAAAAGGTCAATTCACGTAATTCTCCGATGTCCCAGGGCAGCATCTCATTTGGGGCAAGGAGGCTGCAAGAGCAAAAGAAAACATCAACACTCCCTCTCCTCGCCTCTTGCACTGTTCATTCAGAGTTGTTTGAAAGCTGCTTGGAGGCTCATTGATGAACAACATGCATGAAGTCAACATAACTCCGTGTCTAACTTGGCATTCATTGGCTTCAGGACCAATTTGTGAACTGGGAAAACTTTGTTCACTGATTATATGGGAAAGTGGATTCGACCGATGGCTTATCCAGTTCATTCTAGAGTTCACCACTCTTAAGTGCAGGTCGCCACAAGTGACCGAGTCCAAAAATGGAAATAAGCCTTTTACATACGGTCACAGGGAGTGATATTGCAATGCTGCCAAGTCACTGGTCTCTTCTTCCAGGCGCACAATGGATCCGCCACAGGCCTCTTACTTCTCCGGTGTATACAACTGACTTGCCGGGATTGGAGTCCACTTCCACAATCCACAGGGCAAGGTCGCCAGGGACCTGCCCGCCAATACACTTCACATTTCTCTGAAGTACAGTTTCTTCTAACAGATGGTCTGCAGAAGAGGGGAGAATGGTTTGAGAAAAAGGGGATGGAGGTTCCGTCTCTCAGGAGCCTGGTTTGCCTTACCTTAAAGATGCTTCCCCTTGCATTTCTCTCAGGAGCTGCTGCAAGCCTAAAGGTTAACAGTCTCAGAGGCAGGAAGGACTCTTTGCAGTTATTGGCCCAGAGAGCAGCTTTTGAGCCCGCCCCTTCTCCCAGGGAAAGACCTCCATTTTGGAGGCCTCCCTGCCCTTTCAATTGGGAAGAAGAATTCATATGTGCTAGAGGCCAGCAGGAAAGCAAGTACTATAAACAATTTGGGATAGAAAGATAAAGATAGATAGGATATAGATCAAGAAGGCCATAGATAGAAAGATATATAAACAATTTGGGATAGAAAGATAAAGATAGATAGAAATATAGATCAAGTAGGCCATAGATCAGTGTTTCTCAACCTTCCTAATGCCATGACCCCTTGATACAGTTCCTCATGTTGTGGTGACCCCCAACCGGAAAATTATTTTCGTTTCTATTTCATAACTGGATCTGGAGCAACTTGACATCAATACTCAATATGCCGAAATCAGAACACTGCTGGAGCTTGGGGAAAATAGACCTTGACATTTGGGAGTTGTAGTTACTGGGATTTATAGTTCACTTACAATCAAAGAGCATTTTGAAACCCACCAACAATAGAATTGGGCCAAACTTTCCACACAGAACCCTCATGATCAACAGAAAATACTGGAGGGATTTGGGATTAATTGACAGTGATTTAGGGGAGATGTAGTTCACCTACATCTGGAGAGCACTATGACTATGCCAAAGGGATTCCTAAGATCATCAGAAATATGTGTTTTCAGATGGTCTTCAGCGACCCCTCTGAAACCCCCTCACGACCCCCCCCAGGGGTCCCGACCCCCAGGTTGAGAAACACTGCCATAGATAGAAAGATATATAAACAAATTGGGATATAAAGATCAATTAGGGCATAGATAGATAGAAATACAAAAATGTTGAGTAATTGAGTCTTATATAGATAGTTTAAAAGAGAACAATTGAGTTATAGATAGAGAAGCTTGTTGAGTTTATAGAGAAATTATAGATAGATAGATAGATAGATAGATAGATAGATAGATAGATAGTATTGAGCATTTGCCTCCAAAGTAACTCTGAGCCAGAGATAGGGAAGAAAGACCTGCTTTTTTCCAACCATAGGGTCTCAGGGTTAGGGTAGAAGAATTTCAGAATTCACTATGCCTTTTGGAAAAAAGCTAACTCAATTTCTGAATGCAACAAAGCTCATCTCTACGCTTGATTGCTTGTAACGTTGATAAGCCTTGCCAAGTCTACAAAGACTTTGTTAATAAATACCCTGTGTGCTATTTCATACCTGGAGTGGACTCAGTTACTCAGAAAGTTCGAGCTTTTAAAGAAAGATCCCAGCAGTCTGCCCAGACAGAGAGCAGCACATCGCAGTTTTGTTTTTAAGGCGTCTGGGTGTGACGGCACAATGGAAAACAGCTAAATTTTGTCAAAGGGCTTCTTGTCCAGTGGTAACTGTACCTTTTCCGAGCATCGCACAGTGAGTTGGATACCATGGATCCGTTCCGGTGCTGACATTGAAGGAGACGGTGTTGCAGGCCTACTCCATGGCCTATGCAGTGACCCGTGCACTGAAAAGAAATGCGACAAATATATTAGATATCCAGGAATGGTTTCTCTTCTGTGTAAAATAAGCTGCTAAAAGAGTAATAGTAATCTGTATAAATAAAAATGTAATGTTCGTTTGTGGGATTAACAGAACTCAAAAACCACTGGATGAATTGACACCAAATTTGGACACAAGGCACCTATCAGGCCAACAAGTGACCATCACTCATAAAAATACTGAAAAACACAGCAGAAGGGACTTAAAAGCAACCCCCCCCCAAAATACATTACAACACATGTGCAAAGCCACATCTATCTATCTATATATATAAATGCTCTGTACATAATGAGTACCTTAAAAGGGCCATCCAGCCATTCACACACATACACACACACATATGTATATGACAAATGCATTATCAAAGATTTGAAAGGGATCCCTAAAGAAGGACAACGATATGTCGCATGTTCCAGAGTAGGCAAACCAGACACTCTCCACATCAACACTGACAAAGAAACAGCAAGAAATAATGTTTTCCCACAAGCATAAAGACATGACATATTTACATATATTAGAAACCAACACTTTCTCATTACTTTATTTTCCAGATCACCAGACTGCGCCACAGCAACGCCTGGCAGGGGACAGCTAGTCTATCTATATAAAAATGCTTTGTATGTAACGAGTACCTTAAAAACAAAAGAACCAATGAAGGAAATCACACCAAATTTGGCAACAAAACGTCTCATAACACAAGGAGTGACCATCACTCAAAAATTATGATTTTGTCATTTGGGAGTTGTAGTTGCTGGGATTTATAGTTCACCTACAATCATTCTGGACTCCACCAATGATGGAATTAAACCAAACTTGGTGCACAGAACTCCCATGACCAACAGAAAATACTGGAAGTGTTTGGTGGGCATTGACCTTGAGTTTTGGAGTTGTAGTTCATCTGCATCCAGAGAGCACTGTGGACTCTGGATCAAACTTGGCACGGATACTCAATATGCCCAAATGTGAACACTGATGGAATTTGGGGAAAATAGACCTTGACATTTGGGAATTGCTGGGAGTTATAGTTCACTTAAAATGAAAGTGCATTCTGAATCCCGTCAACGATAGAATTGGGCCAAACTTTCCATATAGAACCCCCATGACCAACAGAAAATATTGTGTTTTTTGATTGTCTTTGGTGACCCCTCTGACACCCCCTTGTGACCCCCTCAGGGGTCCCGACCCCCAGGTTGAGAAAAACACTGAACTAGATGCTATACTCCTACAGATGCCATCTAAAATTGCATTGGCTTTTTTAGTTGCTGAAGCACACTGTAGACTCATCTTCAGCTTGTGTTCTACTAAGTCTCCTAGATCCTTTTTACATGGATGGCTGTCAAGCCAGGTATCAACCGTCCTATATCTCTGCATTTAATTTTCTTTTTTGAACTAAGTTTACCAACTGACATTTCCCCCAGTTTGGGAGCAGCTTTCCAAAGCTTGCCTTGTTCTTCATTCAGCAAATGCAGCTTGTGCTTTAAAGCCCCAATGGAAGTCACCAATTACCTGGCCCCATGCATGAACGATCCATTCTGTACAAGAACGACCCACGCAAGGCTTCTTTTCCAAAGGGTGCTCTCTGTCTATGCAGCTGCTTGGAGGCAACGTCCTAACAGTGCCATTGGCTTTGACTTGTTTGCAGACTCTTTGCCGCTGGGAAAGTACATTGCCACATAAAGCAGAGCACTCAGACCTTGCACTTGTTGCCCATCTGGAGAGGAAAAGGATTGAAAAGTAAAACACAAAGGCAAAAAAAAATAAAAAATCATGGCATACATGAGAGATCTAGGTAGCCTATTTTCTCTTTTTTCCACCTGCAGGTTAAGACTATATTATATAGCAGTGCTTCTTAACCTGTGGGCCACAGAACACCAAAAACTGGTCTGCGAGCTTCCTTTCTCTTTATTTATTTCATTTCCTCTCCTTTCGCACCACCTGCCACTGTCGCTGATCAGCCCCGATCCCTTGGATAGACCACATCAGCTCTAGATTATTAAATATGGTTTTCTGCGAGCGAGAAAATGACAACTACTGGATGGCACATGTTCTGTATCAGAAACTAGAGCTGATGTGGTCTATCCAATGCAATTTTCTGAATCAGCACCCCCCCCCCAAAAAAAAAACCCAAACCAAATCAAGAGTTGACCGAAAACTGATTTGTAACCCTTTGGTACTAATGTTGGGGTATGGTCCCTGGTCAAAAGAAGATTGGGAACCACTGTTATATAGGCAAGTTTTGACTGATTTTTAAAACATATGACGGGATATCAGTGATAGTTATGTTTTATATTTATTTATGTATTTAAAACAGTTATATTCTGCCCATTTCACGCTAAGGGGATGCAGGGCGCATTTCTACCCTGCACGTTGTTTGCGTATTTCTATCCTGCAGGTTATATATTTATTTTGAAATGGATTTAACTACCTGCTTTTAATTGTATTGCCCATTTTTAAACTTTTTGTTTATTTTAAATGTTGAGAGTCATCTTGTATTTCTATATAGGATAAAGAGAAAATATAGACTGAATAATCAATACAATATAGGGGGCTGCGGTGGCGCAGTGGGTTAAACCACTGAGCTGCTGAATTTGCTGACTGGAAGGTTGGCAGTTCAAATCCGCGGGACAGGGTGAGCTCCCACTGTTAGCCCCAGCTTCTGCCAACCTAGCAGTTTGAAAACATGCAAATGTGAGTAGATCAACAGGTATTGCCTCGGAGAGAAGGTAAGTGGTGCTCCATGCAGTCATGCTCGTCACATGACCTAGGAGGTGTCTGCAGACAGTACAGGCTCTTTGGCTTAAAAACGGAGATGAGCACCATCCCCCAGAGCAAGGAAGGGAAGCCTATACCTCTATCTGTGTTTGGTTGTTTCTAGGCATTGAATGTTTGCCTTTGTGTTTGTGTATGTAGAGAAGTGTTTATTATAAAGGGTTTAATGTACTGTGTTTAAACTGTATTTATGTTTTACATGCGTGGCCATGGCCTAGCTGTGAGAGATAGGTTGCCATGGTGACAAGGCAGAAGAGAAGGTGGGCGGAGCTTAAGGAGATAAAGGTTTGAAAGTAACAGTTAAGAGTCAGTCAGGAGGATGAGACCCTGAGAAGAGGAGGGAGTCAGTTAGGGCTCTGTGTGGTGAAGCAGTATAAATTCAGTTAGTTCTTAGCATTTGTGAAAATTTCTTCAGCAAGGGAGCTGAAGGTGAAACCTTGTTAGATTGCTTGTGTTAAAAAGAATCTAACAAAGGGGGTTTTAGGGATCCCAGTAGTGAAAGACTGGAGATCGGTGGTTTGATCCGGTATAGGACAAACAGAGTGAATATTCACCACAGGGAACACTGAAATAATAAAGTACTTCACTGAAGAAGGAGTTTAAAGGATTGTAACATCAGAAGCCTGAATGTATCTCTACCAAGCCATATTGTAACCATCAAGTTTGTGCCAAGTTCAACATCTTAGTATTGCAACAATTACGCTCTGTTAACAATAAACTTGTTCTCTCTGTGTTATAAATCTGCCTCCTCCATTGATTTTACATTTGGTGCAATCCACTCTACCAAAGTTTCCTCACAACGCAGATAGGGATGAACAGAGACTTCAATTCCAACATCTCTTTATATATATAATGGTGGCAGTGTAATCAAGCAGTATTGGGACTTCCTTATAATTTATGCTGAAATTAGGTGGATCAACATACATATTTACTTAATTTTGGTAATCCCATTTAGGTGGGATTACGCTTCCTTACATGTATGCTGGAATCCTCCCTGAGTACCCTCGGGGAGATAAGGCAGAATACAAATCATTACATTATTATTATTATTATTATTATTATTATTATTATTATTATTATTATTTTGTTGTGTCAGGAGCAACCCGAGAAACTGCAAGTCGCTCCTGGTGTGAGAGAATTGGCCATCTGCAAGGACGTTGCCCAGGGGAACGCCCGGATGATTTGATGTTTTTATCATCCTTGTGGGAGGCTTCTCTCATGTCCCCCGCATGAGGAGCTGGAGCTGATAGAGGGAGCTCATCCGCCTCTCACTGGATTCGAATCTGCGACCTGTCAGTCTTCAGTCCTGCCAGCACAGGGGTTTAACCCACTGCGCCACCGGGGGCTCATTATTATTATTATCATTATCATTACAATAAAAAATAGGCATTTTGATATATTAGTAATGCTGACTTGACAAGTAGGATGGCCAATGTTAGTGACTGCCATAATATAGTCAATAGTTAAGGATGGATGAGCATTTCAGTTCAATTCAGATGTGAGAAAAATTGTCAGAATTTGCAAATACCTTTATATTATATGAAAATGAGATTTAAAAATAATTATGTATCAAGTCACTGATTCAATTATCAAGAGCCAGGACTTTGAACACTTCACAAAAATTGGAAACTGCATTCCACAGGCTCTTTTTTTCCTGATAGGCTCCTCAAAACCTCTATACAACAGGTAAGTACAATGCTGTCCTTTCCATTCTGTAGTTGGATGCATCAGTTTCCAAATGGCAAAGGATTTGGGTGTACTGGTTTTTATTTTCCACCTTTCCAGTCAACATTTTGAAACATATACCAAAAAAGAAACAAGTAAAGAATGTACACACCTTGGAGGACAATCATGGATGTTGCAAGGCCGATAGCTTACAACTGGCTTCACACTCTCTTTGCACAATGACCTGTTCACCTTCTGTTCCTTCTCATTTACACATTGGATCCTTTGGAACTGTGTCCCAGAATTTCCACAAGTAGCAGAGCAAGGACTCCACTCCCCAAGCTTCCACTTATATTCTGGAAAAACATATAGGGTGGGCATAAAAACAAGAGTAAAGGCTGCAGATTACAGCGCAGATATAGTTCCCACTTCATGATATAGCCACCTGCCTTATATCATGTATGGCATTTATTTTCCAGCTTTATGGTTTTACGAACCATTTGGATCAAAGTATGTGCATGTCACCTTGTCATGCCCAGCATGATTTTTTTAAAATTTTTAATTACTACATTTGGCCCAGCCATAGGTTTTTAAACGCGTCAAGTTACTGTTAATGTTTATTGCTTATTTTTGCTTATGAGTTTATTTATTGTTTTGTATTATTTTTATTGTTTATTGTTGTATTGTGGGATTGGCCTCATGTAAGCCGCATCGAGTCCCTTGGGGAGATAGTAGCGGGGTAAAGTTTTTATTATTATTATTATTATTATTATTATTATTATTATTATTATTATTATTGTCACAGGCATGATTGGTGGGGACGAGAGACAGGGCCTTCTCGGTGATTGCTCCCCAGCTATGGAACTCCCTTCCTGGTGAGATCAGGTTGGCCCCCTCCCTCCTGTCCTTTAGAAGGATGGTCAAAACTTGGCTATGAGACCAAACTTTCGGAACAAGGCAATAAAGCAGCAATAGGAAAGATGACCAGGCCAATTAGATTTGACATGGATGACTAGGGTGATTTTAAATGGTGTATTTTAATATTGAGATAAATATTTGTAATGTTTATGTACACATATAAGAATGAATATTTACTGTAATAATAATAATAATAATAATAATAATAATAATAATAATAATAATAGTAATAATAATAATAAACCTTTATTTATACCCCACTACCATCTCCCGCAGGACTCGGTGCCCAAATACATCATAAAACATAACAGCAACAAAACAACAATAAATAACTCATAACAAAGCAAAACAATACAATAATGACATGACGCATTTTAAAAACCTGTGACAGGGCAAAATGGAAGGATTAAAAATTTAAAAATGCTGGGCATGTCCAAGGGAAAATAGGATGGATATTTTAGAGATAGGTGGGCGTGCAGACAGTTCTAAATCTCTTGTAAAGTGCATTTAGGACATATTGTTTGAAATTCCTTATTCTGGGAAGGCACACTGGAACATCTACGCTTTCAAGCTCCTTCTAAAGACTGCCAACGTTGTGGCCTGCCTGATGTCCTTGGGGAGGGAGTTCCAGAGTCGTGGGGCCACCACTGAGAAGGCCCTTTCCCTCGTCCCCACCAATCACGCTTGTGATGGAGGTGGGATTGTGAGTAGGGCCTCTCCAGATGAACGAAGAGATCGTGTGGGTTCGTACACACAGATGCGGTCACGCAGGTAGGCGGGTCCCAAACTGTTTAGGGCTTTGTAGGTAAGCACCTGCACCTTGAATTGGGACCGGAAAATGAACGGCAGCCAATGGAGCTCCTTAAACAGGAGGGTTGACCTCTCCCTGTAAGGAGCACCAGTTAACAGCCTGGCCACCGTATATATGCTGTGCTCCGCCCTGAGTCCCCTTCGGGGTGAGAAGGGCGGAATATAAATGTTTTAAATAAATAAATAAATGATGATGGAAGTTATAGATCATCCTCCATCAAGTCAGAGCACTGTGACTCCCACTGATAATAGACCTGGACAACATTTGGCACTCAGAACCCCCATGACCAAAGAAAAATACTGGAGAGGTTTCGGGGGGAACTCACTTTGATTTATAGCCATTACTAAGGATAAATTTATTTTTTTACTTTACTTGTATACCGCAGTTTCTCAGCCCAACAGGCGACTCAACGCGGTTTACAACAAGGATAAGAATCAATCAACGATATACAATTTAAAACCATAAAAGCATAATATACAATATTGACACAACAATAGACAACACAATGCATCTCATAACTAGAGTCGTGATCCAATCCGTCGTCCAAATTTCCATTCCTGTAATCATCACATTCATTGCACTGTTTAACCGAATGCCCGTTCAAACATCCAAGTTTTTAATCTTCTTCGGAACACCATTAGTGAGGGGGCTGATCTTACCTCCATGGGAAGGGCGTTCCACAGCCGGGGGGCCACCACAGAAAAGGCCCCGTCTCTCGTCCCCGCCAGCCGCACCTGTGAAGCAGGCGGGATCGAGAGCAGGGCCTCCCCAGATGATCTTAGGGTCCTGGCGGGCTGATAGGCAGAGATCCGTTCGGATAGGTAACTTGGGCCAGAACCGTTTAGGGCTTTATAGGCCAACGCCAGCACTTTGAATTGAGCCCGGTAGCAAATGGGCAGCCAGTGGAGCTGGTGCAGCAGAGGAGTGGTATGCTCCCTGCGCTCCGCTCCTGTTAGTATCATGGCTGCCGAGTGTTGGACTAGCTGGAACTTCCGAGCCGTCTTCAAAGGCAACCCCACGTAGAGAGCGTTGCAGTAGTCTACATGGGATGTAACCAGAGCGTGGACTACCGTGGCCAAGTCAGAGGTTGAAAGCCGGTATTATTTAGTTTGTCACAGGACACAGCAAAGTGAGGATTCGAAACCTGGGGATTGCAACTCACCTTCTTTTTTGACATTCACCCAGACTGACAACGGCTTGGCACTTGACGAAGTCCCACATCTGTACTGCCCGGCAAAACGGTCAGACACAAAATTCACTTCCAGGATGCGCCCGTGGACCAGGGTTCTGTACGTGATGCCTTGAATTTCTTCAACTGGTTGATTTCTAAAGAACCAGCGAATTGTGTTCTTTCTAGAAGGATACACTGGACAACCTAGAAAAGAAGGTTAGGTTCAGCCTCTTTTCTATAATACTGTAGATCAGTGGTTCTCAACATCCCTAATGCCGCGACCCCTTAATACAGTTCCTCATGTTGTGGTGACCCCCAGCTATTAAATTATTTTCGTTACTACTTCATAATTGTAATTTTGCTACTATTATGAATCGTTATGTAAATATCTGACCTTGGGTTTTAGAGTTGTAGTTAACCTTGGGTTGATATATCTGTGGAATGTCCAGGGTAGGAGAAAGAACTCTTGTCTGTTGTAAATGTTGCAATTGGCCACCTTGATTAGAACTGAATGGCCTTGCAGTTTCAAAGCCTAGCTGCTTCCTGCCTGGGGAATCCTTTGTTGGGAGGTGTTAGCTGACCCTGATTGTTTCCTGTCTGGAATTCCCGTTTTTTAGTGTTGCTCTTTATTTACTGTCCTGATTTTTTAAAAATACTGGTAGCCAGATTTTGTTCATTTTCATGGTTTCCTCCTTTCTGTTGAAATTGTCCACATGCTTGTGGATTTCAATGGCTTCTCTGTGTAGTCTGACATGGTGGTTGTGAGAGTGGTCCAGCATTTCTCTGTTCTCCAATAATATGCTGTGTCCAGGTTGGTTCCTCAGGTGCTGTAATCCAGGTGGCCAATTACTAATCAGGCTGACCGATTGCAACATTCACACTTGCCTCAAGCAGACAAGCGTTCTTTTCCCAGCCTGGATATTCCACAGATATATAAACATTACTTGCCTAGTTTCCAACAGACCTCACAACCTCTGAGGATGCCTGCCATAGATGCAGACGAAACATCAGACGAGAATGCTTCTGGAACATGGCCATACAGCGCAAAAAACTCACAGCAACCTAGCTGCTACTACTACTACTACTACTACTACTACTACTACTACTATTATTATTGGAAACACAACAAGATGAGTCCATAGCAGACACTCTGCTGGCTGTTGGACTGGATCACACGTCAGACAATTCCCAAGTGTCTAGGACTGTGTGATGTATATTATTATTATTATTATTATTATTATTATTATTATTATTATTATTATCACACGTCGGACCCTTCTCAAGTGTCTAGGACTGTGCAATGTATCGGCGAATAATGTGTGCAGATCCCAGTGAAGTGGCCTTCTCCAGCTGGTAGATGGGAATCTTGCCAGTGCCAATTGTGTTTAAGTGCAGGCCAAGGTCTTTAGGCACTGCACCCAGTGGGCCAATCACCACTGGGACCACCTTTACTGGCTTGTGCCAGGGTTATTAATTATTATTATTATTATTATTATTATTATTATTATTATCATCATCATCATTGACATAAAAGCACAGTATGTCACAGCAAACGAGATCTATATGGATTTCGTATCACAAAATCACAAGTCGAACACTTCCCAAGCGTCTAGGACTGTGTGATGTATTTTCGAATGATGTGCGCAGATCCAAGTCAGGTGGCCTTTTGCAGTTGACAGATCATGATTTTCTCAATGTTTATAGCTTCCAAATACCGGCTGAGATCTTTTGGCACGGCACCCAGTGTGCCGATGACCACTGGGACCACTTGTACTGGTTTATGCCAGAGCCTTTGCAGTTTGATTTTGAGGTTGTTGTTGTTATTATTATTATTATTATTATTATTATTATTATTATTATTAGCCATCCCCTGCCACGCCTTGCTGTGGCCCACATGGGGGTTCTATGTGAGAGGTTTGACCCAATTCTATCGTTGGTGGGGTTCAGAATGCTCTGTGATTGTAGGTGAACTATAAATCCCAGCAACTACAACTCCCAAATGTCAAGATTCTATTTTCCCCCAACTCCACCAGTGTTCACATTTGGGCATATTGAGTATTCGTGTAGAGTTTGGTCCAGATCCATCATTGTTTGAGTCCACAGTGCTCTCTGGATGTAGGTGAACTACAACTCCAAAACCAAAGGACACTGCCCACCAAACCCTTCCAGTATTTTCTCTTGGTCATGGGAGAACTGTGTGCCAAGTTTGGTTCAATTCCATTCTTGGTGAGGTTGAGAATGCTCTTTGATTGTTGGTGAACTATAAATCCCAGCAATTATAACTCCCAAATGACAAAATCATAATTTTTTGAGTGAAGGACATACATTGGGTTGTTAGGTGTCTTGTGTCCAAATTTGGTGTCAATTCGTCCAGTGGTTTTTGAGTTCTGTTAATCCCACAAACGGACATTACATTTTTATTTATATAGATTATTAATGCCCAGCCTTAACCCTTCTGAAGAAGACTCAAAGCGGCTTACATTCAAAGTATGACCTCACAATTTAAAATATACAAATATGCAAACATTAAAACAGAATTGAACATAACAGTATAAAAAATGCATAGCTGAAGTCCATTAAAACATAGTCAAAGATAATAATTCTTTAGCGCAATGGCCAGGTGGCTTAACGGCTTGTTCTTTGACATATTCAATATTATTGTGCAGTGATGCACTTGAGTTTGTGATATTTCAAAGACTACACAGTATGCAAATGTCCATATGGTTCTGAGAAATAATACACATGGTTCAAACTACCAATAGAAAGGCAACAACTTTAGAAGACTGCCCCTTTGCCAACATTAGTAAGTATAATTCTGAGCCGCACCTATCCGTAATAGAGCTCCAGGCACGGCGGTAATGTTGGTACCAATCCCAGATGCCATGAGGACACGCTTTCTCCTACGATCCATAGATGTCCCATTATTAGGCTCCTGACAGTTCTGATCTAAAGTAAAAGAAAGACAAAAACAATGTGACATTTGAATCAAGCAGACTGATGATGTTACGTTTGTTGTTGTTGTTCATTCGTTCAGTCGTCTCCGACTCTTCGTGACCTCATGGACCAGACCACGCCAGAGCTCCCTGTCGGCCGTTACCACCCCCAGCTCCCTCAAGGTCAGTCCAGTCACTTCAAGGATGCCATCCATCCATCTTGCCCTTGGTCGGCCCCTCTTCCTTTTGCCTTCCACTTTCCCCAGCAGATGTTACGTTAGAAAAAGGCATTCTAAATACAACGTGTGAAAAGCAGGAGGCGATGATGAGAATATCAGCTCAGGCCTCCCTCTCCCTCTTGTACTGTTTTCATTGATTTCCTTGTATTGAGAAATAATAATAACACACAACCCAACCAAAAAAAGTCTTTTTTCTTGGTGTCTGCATTTTAAGGCCTGTTCCTGGGGTTATTTGGGGTGTTGATTCAGAAAATTGCATTGGATAGACCACATCAGCTCTAGATTATTACATTTGGTTTGATGTGGGTGAGTAAATGTTGGAGAGTGGTCCCTGGTCAAAATGATCCCTGGTCAAAAAAAGGTTGGGAACCACTGATTTAGAGTAGCCAGGTATTATTGGCTACTTCTTTACCTATTTTGTCTTGTATTTTCCCTATTACCTTGTCTGCTCCATATGGAACACTGATTTCCTTTTGGGAGAAGACTGAGGCAAAGAAGGTGTTGAGCAATGTTGTCTGTGCGCATTCAGAAGAAGACCTACAAGCCACTCTAAACACCTTCACAGAAGTATACGAGAAACTCGGCCTGTCACTGAACATTGAGAAAAACAAAGTGCTGTTCCAGCATTCACCAGCCAATCCCTCTCCAATGCCAGAGATACGGCTTAATGGTGTAACATTAGAAAATGTTGACCGCTACCTTGGCAGCCACTTCTCAACATCGACACCGAAATACAACACCGCCTAAGCTCTGTGAGTGCAGCATTTTCCCGAATGAAGCAGAGAGTGTTTGAGGACCGGGACATCCGTAGGGATACCAAGGTGCTTGTTTATAAAGCTATTCCCCTCCCAACCCTGCTATATGCCTGCAAAACGTGGACAGTCTACAGACATCACATGCAACTCCTGGAATGATCCCATCAGTGCTGCCTCCGAAAAATCCTGCAAATCTCTTGGGAAGACAGGCGGACAAACGTCAGCGTGCTGGAAGGAGCAAAGACCACCAGCACTGAAGTGATGGTCCTCCGCCATCAACTCCACTGGGCCGGCCACATTGTCCGGATGCCTGACCACCATCTCCCAAAGCAGTTGCTCTACTCCGAACTCAAAAACGGAAAACGGAACGTTGGCGGACAGGAAAAGAGATTGAAAGATGGGCTCAAAGCCAACCTTAAAAACTGTGGCATAGACACTGAGAACTGGGAAGCCCTGCCCTTGAGTGCTCCAGCTGGAGGTTGGCTGTGACCAGCAGTGCTGCAGAATTTGAAGAGGCATGAATGGAGGGTGAAAGAGAGAAATGTGCCAAGAGGAAGGCGCAGGTCAAGACAAACCCTGACTGGGACCGCCTTCCACCTGGAAACCAATGCCCTCACTGTGGGAGAAGATGCAGGTCAAGAAGAGGGCTCCACAGTCACCTACGGACCCACCAGAACACTGATCCTGGAAGACTATCCTACTCGGCCAACGAGGGATCGCCTAAGTAAGTAAGTAAAAAGAAAGAGAGGTAAAACAAAAATAGAAGGCTTGTTCTCTAAAGTCCCCTTTCTTACTAATGGCTTTGCAAGCACTAATATCGCTTTACTTCAGAGATCAGGACTCTGAAAGTATCTACAGACAGGTGAGACTGCCTGCTTCAGGAAGTGGCTGTCAATGCATGATGGAAATGTATGGCTAGAGTGAAGGTTTGGTACCTCTGCCTTTTCATGGCTTTATCTCTATTTTAAAAGCTTTGGTAAAGAAGAGAAAGGAGCACAATAATTGGCCAAGAGTGTACCTGAGATTGCTACATCTGACTTTCTACTGACCAGTCAGTTGAATAATAGTTGTGGCTAGAGCTCGTCCCAGAGCGTTGCTGGCTGTGCAAGTGTAGGCGCCGGCATCGTCGCAGGAAACGTTGTTCAGGAGCAACGAGCCATTCTCCACTCTTAAAAAACGGCCTCTTGGAGAAACTCTTTTCTTCAACCACATCATCTCCGGCTGGGGACGACCTGGTGGTGGAAATGTAAGACACAATGAAGATTTGCAGAAATGCCAGTGGTCTTTCTTCACGTGCCCACATGCAATTGTGGTGGCAACCATCCTAGAACAGTGGTTCTCAACCTTACTAATGCCGTGGCCCCTTAATACAGTTCCTCGTGTTGTGGTGACCGCCAACCATAACATTATTTTTGTTGCTACTTCATAACTATAATTTTGCTACTGTTATGAATTGTAAGGTAAATATCTGATATGTAGGATGCACTTTCATTCACTGGGCCAAATTTGGCACAAATACATGATACAATCATATTGGGGGGGGGGGGGGGGGGGGTGGTGGTGTTAATTTTGTCATTTGGGAATTGTAGTTGCTGGGATTTATAGTCAACCTACAAACAAAAAGCATTCTGAACTCCACCAACTATTATTTATTATTTATTTATTTAAAACATTTATATTCCTTCCTTCTCACCACAATCCTGCGCACCGGGATTGTGGCGCAGCTGGCTGAGTGTCAGCTGCATTAAGATCTCTCTGACCAAAAGGTCATGAGTTTGAAACCAGCCCGGGTTGGAGTGGGTTTCCAACCAATTGTGTGTAGCCTGTTGTTGACCTTTGCAACCCGAAAGACAGTTGCATCTGTCAAGTAGGAAAATTAGGTACCACCTTAAAGTGTGGGGAGGCTAAATTAACTAATTTACGAGGCCAAAAAAAAGACTCCAGCAAAGCATTCCAGCGGGGAAGCATGTGGGGAATGCAGAAGTGCTTCATCAGGGTCGCAGATGGACGATGAAAGCGACAGCTCCCCTGGCGGCCAGAAAAAGTTAAATAGCCTCTGTGTATGTCTGTATATGTTGGTATGTCAATAATTGGCATTGAATGTTTGCCATATATGTGTACACTGTAATCCGCCCTGAGTCCCATACGGGGTGAGAAGGACGGAATATAAATGCTGTAAACAAATAAATAAATAAAAAATATGGCAAACCTTCAATGCGGGGACATAAAACCATAAATATATACAAACATTAAAATCACTTATATTCACTTACACACCATCTCAGGACACCATTTTGCCTACTTGCACTGCCCCAAAGGATTGGTCCCGTAGCCAGGTCTTCACCATCCTTCTGAAGGACAGGAGGGAGGGGGCTGATCTAATATTGCCAGGAAGGGAGTTCCATAACCGAGGGGCAATCACGGAGAAGGCCCTGTCTCTCATCCCTGCCAAACATGCCTGTGATGGTGGTGGGACCGAGAGCAGAGCCTCCCCAGAACATAAATGTGTCGTGATATTATTGTTATTGTTTTGCTTTATGAGTAATTTATTGTTGTATTGTTGTTGTTGTGTTTTATTGATGTATTTGGGTTCGGCCTCTTGTAAGTCGCACCAAGTCCTGCAGGAGATGGTAGCGGGGTATAAATAAAGGTTTATTATTATTATTATTTATTATTATTATTATTATTATTATTATTATTATTATTATTATTATTATTATTTACTTTGGAATTGAACCAAACTTGGCACACATAACTCCCATGACCAATAGAAAATACTGGAAGGGTTTGGTGGGCATTGACCTTTAGTTTTGGAGTTGTAGTTCACCTACATCCAGAAAGCACAGTGGACTCAAACAATGATGGACCTGGACCAAACTTGACACCGACACTCAATAGGCCCAAATGTGAACAGTGGTGGAGTTTGGGGAAAGTAAACCTTAACATTTAGGAGTTGTAGTTGCTGGGATTTATCGTCAACCTACAATCAAAGCGGTGAACTCCACCAACAATGGAATTGAACCGAACTTGGCCCACAGAACTCCCATGACCAATAGAAAATACTGGAAGGATTTGGTGCACATTGACCTTGAGGTTTGTAGTTGTAGTTCACCCACAACCAGAAAGCACCATGGACTCAAACAATGATGCATCTGGACCAAACTTGGCACCGATACCCAATAGGCCCAAATGTGAACAGTGGTGGAGTTTGGGGAAAATAAACCTTGACATTTAGGAGTAGTAGTCACTGGGATTTATAGTTCACCTACAATCAAAGCACATTCTGAACCCCACCAACTATAGAAGTGGGCCAAACTTCTCCTTTCATTTCCAGTTTCTAGAGACATTGCTCATCTCTGGCTCTGGGGAGCTGCTTTCCTCCATTTTCAAGCCAAGGAACCTGCATTGTCACTTCTTGGTTGTGTGGCCAGCAAGCTTGCTTGGTACATCTCTTTGCCTTTTCCCACTGAAGCGGTACCTATTTATCTACTCATATTTGATTGTTTTTGAGCTGCTAGGTGGGCAAGGGCTGGAGCTGACAGATGGGAGCTCACCCCATCTCGCAGATTCAAACTGCCAACCCTCAGGTCAAGGTTTGTGGACATTCTTCCCTTGAAGGAAATGCAAAGATACAGAATGGGGGACAATGCCTGGCTCTAGAGCAGTACGTGTGAAAAAGATCTTGGAGTCCTCGTGGACAACAAGTTAAACATGAGCCAGGAATGTGATGTGGCGGCAAAAAAAGCCAATGGGATTTTGGCCTGCATCAAGAGGAGCCTAGTGTCTAGATCTAGGGAAGTCATGCTCCCCATGCTCTATTCCGCTTTGGTTAGACCACACCTGGAATATTGTGTCCAATTCTGGGCACCACAATTCAAGAGATATTGACAAGCTGGAATGTGTCCAGAGGAGGGCGACTAAAATGATCAAGGGTCTGGAGAACAAGCCCTATGAGGAGCGGCTTAAGGAGCTGGGCATGTTTAGCCTGAAGAAGAGAAGGCTGAGAGGAGATATGATAGCCATGTATAAATATGTGAGAGGAAGCCATAGGGAGGAGGGAGCAAGCTTGTTTTCTGCTTCCCTGGAGACTAGGACGCGAAACAATGGCTTCAAACTACAAGAGAGGAGATTCCATCTGAACATGAGGAAGAACTTCCTGACTGTGAGAGTGTTCAGCAGTGGAACTCTCTGCCCCGGAGTGTGGTGGAGGCTCCTTCTTTGGAAGCTTTTAAACAGAGGCTGGATGGCCATCTGTCAGGGGTGATTTGAATGCAATATTCCTGCTTCTTGGCAGAATGGGGTGGACTGGATGGCCCATGAGGTCTCTTCCAACTCTTTGATTCTATGATTCTTGTTTTGAGGCCTTTTCTACCACCTGATACACCGACCTTTCAACTAAAGTTGCCAAGGATTTAATCTGGGCTTTTCTGGTTAGCAAACCATAATGCCTCCCAATAGCACTTAATTATTAACACAGCTGGAATACCCCTTTTTTTCCCCCCGCAGATAATTTTTCAAAACTGCTTGACAGGAGATTTCTCCGTGATGTGGAATGATCCTTGAGAAAGGAAGTTTAACCTCTCCGTCATAAGTTTAGCACTTTTCTGTCCACACCTCCAGTTTTCCCCCCAGTCTAATTTCAACCAGACTCGGAGCTAGTAATTTTCATGGAAAATAAAACTGTGTATGTATGTGTGTGTGTGTGTGTATATATATGTATGTATGTGTGTGTGTGTATATATATATATATATATATATATATATATATATATATATATATATAAAACATCAGAAAGGAAAATCACTCTTAACAGGGTTGTCACAGATCACAGACAGTGGCTGCTTTCAACTCAAAAGCCCGTTTTCTATCAATTAACCAAAATCTAAAATCAACAACATAATAGAAAGAATAATTTAAATGACAGATACTATAAACATTGCTTAATTCCTACTTGGAGAACTCTTGAACATAGGAAGGGATTACGTTTCAAGCCAGATCTCCCTTTGTGGTTGCAGTCAAAATACTTTCAGTCAGAGTTTTGGCACCTTCTCATAACAGAGTCTTTTTATGCTATATTTTCCAAAAGCTGCTCAGGAGGATCTACTTGCACTGCATATATATTAAGGAAACAATGCAAGAACGGCTTGAATTAGTCAAAATTATTTCCAAAGAATAGTGGCAGGAAAGTTATGAAGACTGCAGTCCCTCTGATTCTATGCACCACCTCCCAAACCTGAAATGAAAGGAGAAGTCTCTACCTTTGTCTGTCTTTATGTGTCTCATTGCCTTCGCAGAAGCATACACGAAGCTCGGCCTGTCACTGAACACCGAGAAAACCAAAGTGCTGTTCCAGCAGTCTCCAGCCATCCCCTCCCCAATGCCAGAGATACAACTAAATGGTGTAATATTAGAAAATGTTGACCATTTCCGCTCCCTTGGCAGCCACCTCTCCACCAAAGTCACAATTGACACCGAAATGCAACACTCTGCGAGTCCAGCATTCTTCTGAATGAAGCAGAGAGTGTTTGAGGACCAGGAAATCTGTAGGGAGACCAAAGTGCTTGTTTACAAAGCTATTGTCCTCCCAACCCTGCTATATGCCTGAAATGGACTGTCTACAGATCACATGCAACTCCTGGAATGATTCCATCAGCGTTGCCTCGAAAATCCTGCAAATCTCTTGGGAAGATAAGCGGACAATGTCAGCATGCTGGAAGAAGCAAAGACCACCAGCATTGAAGCATGGTCATGCCACAAACTCCGCTGGACCGGCCACATTGTCCAGATGCCCTGACCACCGTCTCCCAAAGCAGTTGCTCTCTTCCCGAAATCAAGAACGGAAAATGGAATGTTGGGGAGGAAAAGAGATTTAAAGATGGGCTCAAAGCCAACCTTAAAAACTCTGGCATAGACACTGAGAACTGGGAAGCCCTGGCCCTTGAGCGCTCCAGCTGGAGGTCAGCTGTGACCAGCAGTGCTGCAGAATTCAAGGAGGCATGAGTGGAGGATGAAAGAGAGAAACGTGCCAGGAGGAAGGCGCATCGAGCCAACTCCGACCGGGACCGCCTTCCACCTGGAAACCAATGCCTTCACTTTGGGAGAAGATGCGGGTCAAGAATAGGGCTCCACAGCCACCTACAAACCCACAAAAATAGTCATCAAGGAAGACCATCTTTCTCGTCCAATGAGGGATCGCTTAAGTAAGTAAGTCTCATTGCATTGTGACAAGGC